GACGTTAGTGGCGACCGCATCATCTTTGACTTCCTCAGCAATGGTTACCGGGATTGGTTGGCTATGGACGAGGATATGGGTGATGAGGAGGCTGAACGCGTTTTGGCCCCTCATGTTCAATCCATGGCAGCCGCCTTTGAGCGATCAAACTCCAAATACACATCAGAACTCGAAATGCTAGAAGCTGAAAACGCACGACTTCTCAAGGAAATCGAGGATTTGGAAAAGTCGACACCCGACCCTGCGGTTCTCGATAACCACTTCAAGATTATGGAGGAGGATAAGATCAAATTTGAAGAGTATAATGCCCTGGCGATGCAAAGGTCCGAGAAGTACGAGAGCCGGTCTCAAGTCCTTCAAGAAGAGCTTGACAAACTCATGGAAGAGCTTCAAGAGGCCGACGAGGAGCGACGAAGTCTACAAAAAGCTGTGGATGCCCAAGGAATCAGCATGCAGGATATTGACCGCATGACTGCAGAGCGGGAGCGATTGCAGCGCGGCATTGAGTCAGCTGGCCAACGACTGGAGGAAGTAAAGAAGAAGGTGACGGAGCGAGAGACTGAGGCGAGCCGAAAACTAGATGAATTGGAGCAAATGGTGGATCGATACAACACAATGGCGTATCAGATTGCACTGATCCCTTCGACGGCAGCCAACGCCAAAGGTAGGGAGTTTGAGCTCCAGGTCATGGTGGCTGATAGCTCGGATTACACTTCTACCAATTTGAAGGGATCATCAGGCCCATCATCTGCGGACCGTCTCCTTGTTGACGCCACCACTGGATACCAAGCAGGTCATATTCTCAACTTGGACCTTCGGGGACAAATCCGAAATAGCTTCCTGTCGCTGCGCAAGGAAATCTCAGATCGCCGAGCAGCGGCAATGGAAGAAATGATGAAGGATCACGATCTCCTTGATGGCATAAAGGAGGCCATTGAGGACAGGCGCAGTGAAGTGGAGGCACTGAACCACCGTGTTCGAGCAGCAGAAGAGGAGTATGAGAGAACGAAAGAGGTGTCGACAGCACAGAAGATGGCCTCTGACGCACATATTGAGAAGATGGAGAAGGAACTGTCGCGTATGCGAGCTGGGCTGTCTGAAAACGTGCAAATTCTGGAGCAGCGTGAGATCAACACAACAATTGAGTAAGTGGACACGCGCTTTTGATCAAAGTGACAAGTACTGACGGGGCAAACAGATACGAGCAACTTGTGCTTCAGGCCAACGCTCTCCGAGAAGAGCTTCACACCGAGATTGACAGAATGCTCAACGATGTCATCAAGTTCAAGATTCATGTCCAAAAGAATCTTGATGACTATGAGGGCTTCGTAGCAGACGAACTCGAGAAGGAGCTCGGTAGTGACGAGATGGGCGAGGAGACTCGACAGATGGATATGTGATGAGAGCTACACATGAAGCAATCTTCCGAGACGCTTATGATGACGATTAATGTTCCGGGCGGCCTTCTGGTTTGTTTTATGGCGTTTGGCTTCATGATGGGTCGACTGATGGATGAGTGAGAGCAGTTGGACACAATCTCGTCTGACTGGTCCCTGTCTCAAGTATACATCCTCCCTTTCTGGTGGATATGCTTTTGATGAGCGCGAGTTTGAGCATTATGACATGTTAGTAATGGTAGATACCTGGTGGTTTGCTTTGGTGTTTTTAGGAAAGATACCACGAGGCTATCCGATATAGTAGTTGGCCTTGATTACGAAGATTCTAGTTACGGAAAAAAGCGTAACGACGTTGCCTATTTCTCAATTATCAATGCTGCAATAGTAAGCTGACGGCAACGTGCGTAGCATGGCATGGCAAGCATGGGCACCACATGGCGGCGACAAGGATAGTCAGCACCTTGTCAGGGGGTTCCCGAAGATGCCAGCAGGGGTAGCTAGCTCCATGACTGCAATGATTCGTGAGTGCTCAGTAGATATGACTCTTTTTCTCTGTAGGGTCGTATTACATCTTATGAGCCGCGATATTGGAGTCAACAACACGAAGTACATACAGTCGATGGAGCTGGAAACTCGCTAGAATAAGACAAGGATACAATGTAAGTTAAAGCTTCTGTTGCATTCGGATTCGTTTATTCCCCCGGGTGCCCTCGGAAGATCCTCTTAATTGCCCCGGTCGGGGAATCGGGGGGTTGTAATCTGCGAGCGGGAAAAGTGATGCAAACTCCGCCAAGGCCCTGTAGGGCATTTATTGGGTTGGGGATGGAGTTATGAATGCAAAAGTGAGGCGCTATGATGAACCTGAAAAGAACTTGTGATTGATATGTTTCACACTACCTGACTAAGTACAGATTGGATGAGAGTGAGTATCTACTTAAGTTAGTAGTATATGCTGTTGAGTAAGTATCGCCTAACTAGACCACTCATTATGTGAATATCATGTCTCAGCTGCATAACTGCCCAACAAGTCACAACATTCATTCATCAGTGTTAACTCCGCCAAGTTTTTATCCCCGTTGTCATCCACTGCAGTCTGCACCCGTCTAAGGGCCCCCTAGGTAGGTAGGTATCCGTAGTGCTAGGTAATCTCGGCAAGTTAGTTCTCGGTAGCTTCCATGATGCTTCCATTGTTGGTCTCCAGCAATGTACTTGCCTAGACTCCAAAGGTCATAGCTCCTTCACTCATTCTCTCTCAGTCTCTCTCTCTCTTGTCTCCGTCTCTGACTCTTCTTCTGCCCTGTCTCTCCATATTTTTTTACCTGACGTCTACATCTACATCTCCACCTCCTCATCTTCTCTCTTCTCTCCCTTCTCTCTTTTCATCTCAATTGTTGGCCTTCCCTTTCATCAATGGATGCCAAATAATCTTGCCTGGTTGCCCTGGTCCAATCAATCCCTACCTCGTGCAACTGTAACTCTGCTAAAGTCCGAAGCCTCCGGTTTGGGACATTGCTACCACATGCCGCGTACTTCTTTGACGATCCGTCAACTAAGTTATCATTTTGGATCAACGAAAAATACTAAACCCTTGGCTTTTGCTTCCACATACTCAACTTTTTCCTCAGCATCCTCTACCATCATGGCTCCAGCCGCAACTGCTGCTTCAGCTCAATTGAAGCCTCCGGAGCTGGCTACAAGGAATGCACCTGGCTCATCTGGAGGATCTATCGCCTCTAGCACTGCCGTATCAAAAATACCTGGTCGATCAGCTCTTCCAGATGAAGCCGTTTCCAACCCTCACCATCTCCTCAAGCGTGGCTCTCTAGTGGGCTTCAAGAATCCTTATCCTTCACATGCATACAGTCCCAACTTCGGTACCATGGTGCGAAGAGTCTGGTGGTATGTGAGGACTTTGTCATGTCAAGAGCGCTTCGTCGTCCAGAAACTGATGATATCGTTCTAGGCCCACTTTCACCGGCGACATGAAGCATCCCGATTTGACTCCCCCAACTGTGCCAGTGGTAAAGCCGCAATGGAATACCGAGCGCGAAACAAGCGATAGGATCCGCGCGACATGGCTAGGCCACGCTTGCTACTATGTCGAATTCCCCTCTGGCCTGCGCGTTCTCTTCGACCCTGTCTTCGAGGACCGATGCTCTCCATTCGACTTCATGGGACCGAAGCGATATACGCCCAAGCCTTGTGATATCAAAGATATTCCAATCATCGATGCTGTTTGCATTAGTCATTCCCATTACGACCACCTTTCACATTCTTCCATTCTCGAGGTCCAGAAATACCACCCAGACGCTCAATTCTTTGTCGGTCTGGGTCTGGAGACATGGTTCCGCAAGTCTGGCATCAACCATGTTACTGAGCTTGATTGGTGGGAGGATGCCGACCTCACCGTCACAGTCAAGGATGGAGACAGCCCCCGCGAGATCAGCGCCAGGATAATGGCTTTGCCGTGTCAGCACGGTTCGGCGCGATCCATTTGGGATCGTGACACTACCCTCTGGTGCTCGTGGGGTGTTCGATCTGGCGAGAAGTCAGTTTGGTTCGGTGGCGACACAGGCTACAGATCAGTCCCAAGTCTCCCTCCTGGAACCGATGACTACAGTCCTGAATATGATCATCTTCCAAGATGCCCTCAGTTCAAACAGATTGGCGAATTCCGGGGACCTTTTGATCTTGGCTTGATTCCAATTGGTGCCTATCATCCGCGTGTAGCATTCTCGCCTGTGCATGCGGATCCGGCAGACGCCGTCGAGATCTTCCGCGACACACAATGCAAGCGTGCAATGGGAATCCATTGGGGCACGTGGGCGCTCACGTTGGAGGAAGTTCTGGAACCACCCAAGATGCTGAAGACGGCTCTGCGAAAGAGAGGCCTACCAGAGGTGGGTGTATTTGATGTTTGCGATATTGGTGAAGCTCGGGAATTCTAGCTTGGTATAAAAAAGACCTTGGAGTCTGGAGAAGCGAGACATGTTTGCAGATGTAAATACCCTGATTTTGTTTTTAAGACCCAGTCAGAACTGATGGCATCCGGCTGGATGAGAGGTACACTGCGGTCATCTTGTATGCCACCTTCATTAACCTCAAGACTGGGACTTTGTAGAAGTTTACAAATAAATTTCCACTTCTTGTAAGCTCTTTAGGAGTGAGAAGAATAGGTTAACCCTCGGAAATGATGTCACAGTAAGACCCTGATCGACGATGGCCCGAGTTCGCAATGAGTGTCCAATCAAAGCTTTACTCTGACAGCATAAACTGTCAGCCTAGACCAGGTTCCTCATGGCTTGTCGCAACGGGTCAAAACGGAGCTCACCAAGAGTCTAGTAATTAATCCTCAGTTCTTTCTCATCTGAAAGGTCTTTTCTTTCTTGCTGCTGGTTCCACGATAGCCTGAGCCACAGGTGACGTACCTCACTCGCCACACTATCGCCACATCAAGTATAAGAGACTCGTTAAGACTCGTGTATTCACCAACTACAAATCTTATCAAAAGCTTCAAAACACATAATTTTGATACGTTTCGATCCTTCTTTTCTTTTCTCTTCTCACCTACCAAACAACACAAATCCCCCACAATCAAACATCATGGGTCTCCCCGCTTTCTCAGAGCCCGCAACAACCACTTCTCCTCAATCCCCGCAACAAGAACAGAATCAAAGTACTGGCGTTGCTACCGGTGCCGGCGCAAACACTGGTGCCGGCGTGACAAGGCCCAAGACTGAAGAGGAGAAAGAGGCCGATCGACTTTATGACGAGGCCATGGAGGAGGAGTATGCTAAGCGTGATGGAGGTGCCTAAGCATGGGACAACTCGAGCATGACTCGAAGTGTAGATTCACGACCTGAAGCCAATTGACGAGAAATGATAGCTAGAAGGATGATACTCTCAGCTCTGAACCGAATTGAATGATACACGTTCCGATATAGCCTCAAGATTTGCCTAATATGTGATCTATGCGTTGGAAGTGGTGAATGATATGTTGTTATTTAATAGTGACGTCTATGAACAACTCAATAATGACAGGAAGCCTAGAGCTGACTCAAAGCTTCTGTGCACGAACACCATAAAGCTAGATTGGTTGGTGTATATACACAGAAAGTTGAGGTGAGTGAGGCTGTATGATATATCATGTTCCCACTGTCCTATTATCCATATATCTTGTGGCGACCTCATTAACATGCCAAATTTCATGATCACGGGTTCTGGAGGAGCTATCGATTGGCGCTGGCTGCGTTGCAGGACTCAAACATCCGGGGTCAGCCTTAGCAGAATCGAGAGCTACTCGTTCCATGAATCAGATGGCTCAACGCCACCTCATATTGTTTGCCCAGCTGACGTTCGTTGTCTGAGCTCTTGAGAAGATGCTGATAGCTGGCCTGGAATTGTCACAATCCCATAATGTCAAAGTGTATTCCCAGCGTAGAAATTTCTATGCTGCCATTGATGACTCTTAGTCCAGATAGACTATTCAGCTCTTCTGGGCAGGAGACAACCATGAGCAATCCAAGAGTCGGTATTCCTTTCTGGCGTGATATTGGAATGCAGTTCGTATAGTGTGGTGCCGAACCAAGTCAGCCTCGGGGTTCGGGAACCAGGCACTTGGACAATAAGAATTCTAATGAGAGTATAGTAAAATCTTCAATCATTCTCTCGCAGTCTTGCCAAAGCAGCAGCAATACCGCCACTGAGTTCCTCGTCCTTATCTGTCTGGCTCGCACGAGTGGCCTCTTCTGTCTGTGCAGTCTTCTTCGAAGCCTCGATAGCAGCGGCAAGCATGGCCTCTTCATCGTCTTCATCATCCGTGTTGTCCATAAACTGGAATTGCTTCGATGCGGGCTCATTTGTCTTTTCTGTACAAGGTGTGTCTTTGGCGGGAGATTGTCGCGAAGATGATGCCGTGGTTGGCATGTCCCGTAGAGGAACCCGCGAAAGAGGTAAAGCCTGGTCAAGTCTTGCTGATCGTTCCGAGGCCTTTGCGCCTCTCTTGGCAGCCTTTTTAACCCTGAATGGCTCTTCGACTGCAGACTGCCACCTCTTGACTTTGACTCCTCCCCATCCGTTGAGCATACCGAGTTGCTCTGCATCGGCATTGATTGCATTTTTCAGACTGCCGAAATTGCTCACTACAGCGACCGCATCTGATTTGTTCAGACTTCTTGGTACTGTGACAAATTCTACTAGCTTCTCGCCGTAGCTGGACGGTTGCTGGCCACGGATTGCGCCAAATGTAGCATTCTCGTAGCTCTTGTATAACTCGATATAGCGTGCAGCTTCAGCGGCGGACCAGCAGAGGATTAGGGTGACGTTATTGACGAGTGATGTCTTTGATAGTTCTTTCAGAGAGGCTTCATGGTTGGGAATGTCGACCATGGTGAGGAGTATGCGCAGGTTGTATTTGCCTTGAAGGTTACGTATTCGTGTGTAGATGTATTCGGGATGCAGACGATGGTACTTGAGACTGAGAAGGGTCAGTATCAGGACAACACATAGACAGATGCGCAAAGCTACCTCAGGAACAGAGCGCAAGTGCCCAATCCCAGGACATAGTCGGCAGGGATATCGCTGTACTCCCATGGCATAGATCGAATGCTCGTAAGAACAGGATTTCCTCGCTGGCGCGGAGATACCAGGATAGTTGAGCCAGACTGCTTCTGCGGCAGAGCCTGCGGTGTTGGCTGAACGATCTTTCCAGCGCTGGAGGAAGCTGGTGGTGCTTTGTCTAGACGTTGTGGTGTAGGTTGTTGGATTCTAGTAGGCGTGGGTTGTTGAACTGATCGTGCGGCAGGCGTGGGGTCAGCTGCGGCCATAGCGGCCAGAAGCTCGTCGTCTGCACCGTAGTCGTCGTCCATGATGAATTGTCGAAGCTGCGTAGTGAAATTGGTTGGTCACGCCGCTAGTTTCTCGTCATGTGCTTATTGAAAGTTGATGGTCGTTCACGCATCGCGTAAGTCGACTTGAGCCAAGGTGGGTCGTCGCTCTTAGCAGGTACAGTACAGTCAGTCAACTGGATAACAAACATTCTTTTCCTATAGATCCTACGTCCGTCTCTTGTTCTCTATTCTATGTTTTGCGTCTCATTATGCTGAATATCTGCAGACTTAATGATTAATTCCATGAATGTCTTCTTGGATAAGGATGCCAAAGCCTTTCTTCTTTGCAGTGTAAGAGTGCATCTACGTCATTCAATCAAATCATACAGCCGTTGATAGAGTTTACCTAACTCAGCATACCTAGGTAAGCAAAGTATAGCTAAGCCAATTCTGAACAGAATGGTCTTACACTATATTCGAAGCTATGTAGTACATATAGACTACCTAGACTACCTATTTACCACTATCATCGAGGTATCGATACCTGTAAATGTGTCCGCGTACACCTGGAAGATCACTTACTCCTTTCAACAATGCGGTTCTCAATTCAGCATCGTCAACTCGCCACAATCAAGCTAATGCAACCCAAACATCGAGACCATCATGATAGCTATTTTTAACCCTCGGCTCCTGGTTCCTGTTCTTAGCTTAATGATCTACACTTTTCAACGTGGCAGTGCTGATGGTCTTCAATCACAACTCACTCACGAGTCACATGCAATGATAAGCACCAAACTCATTGATCAAGGTGAATTCATAGTGCAGTAACTAAGTACATAAAAAACAAGTTCCTCCAGGTATCTCCTATCCAATCCTGTCCTATCCCATCCGCAGCTCCAGCCGCTTTTGCCTGGTCCCGTCATGTCCTGTCATATCCTGTCCTATCCAATGCCAGGTTATTCCCTCTGACCGCGCCCATAACGCCAGTAACCATAATGTTCGTTATTTGCGTACACATGTCCTCGTGTACATCATGTCTGTCTCAAGTCTAATCCAAATCTTCTTCTAGCCCTGCATATTCTGTGGGACTGGGCAATGTGCTCTCTGTGAGGGAGGAATGGATCGAGTAAAGGGAGGCCAACCAGCAGTCGAACATGGTTGCCACTTTTTGTGCCTCCGCGTTTGATGATTGTTGTCGTGTTAGTTGATCGCGTAGTCTCTCGTATGCCTCGATCATAACCCAGACCTGCAGTGCTGCTGTATCTTGTCCATTTCGCTGCGGTCGGCCTGGCACAACGGATGATAATTCGCTTGTGAGTAGATCGAGCGCTATTTGAAGGCTGATGTTTTCCTGGAATGAGTGCCCTGATGATGAAGGTGGTCGAAATTCATCTGTCCAAGAACCTCGTGGTGTTCCGGGGGTCTGATCGGGAGATGGTGGTGGTGAGAATGAATATGGCTTGAAGTAAATTGTGTCTCCTTCAACCGCAGCCACATTCGTATCGTGAGTCGCTGCTGACCTGAGTCTGGGTCTCAGCTGACGGGGTATAGCCGTCATGGATGAATATGTATTTGAGGACCGTACACTTTGTCGCTTGGCTCCGTGGGGGGATATCTGAAGAGGGGTATCGTCAAATGAATATGTCGATGCTCGTGATGGTAACTGTGAGTCCAGCGCTGGGGGGCCATCTCTCGACTCAAGAACAGCGTTGTATTGATCAGCGATCAGTTCAACACTCGACGTCTTCTCCGGCACATCCTTCGCCTTGCGCGCAAGTGCATGCTGTTCTAGTTGTCCGATCCGAAAGACGGGGGTCTTGGCCTGGCGTCGCATAATAGATGATGTCGAGGTAGTTGATGCGGTCGAAGGGAGAGAAGAGCTGTCCAATGATGGTCGCGCATGGTGATCCTGGAGAGTCAAATGGTGGAATTCTGGGATTTGGCGCTGAGAAGAGTGTCGTCGTGGCGGAGGACTGAAGAACGCCCTCGGCGGCTCGGGTTCAGGCTCATGTTGGTAATGAGGGTGCTGTTGGTGTTGCTGAGGCGGTTCATATGGCGAATTGATCTCTGGCTGAATATGATCCTCGGGCTCTGAAAATGAGGGCACAAAGACCGTCTTTGGTCGAAGATAATGATCCCATTTTGAATCGCTCAAGTCGGGAGCGCCGTTCTGAATTTGTCGTTGCGACGGTGAGGACATAGTGCTCTGAGGGCTGAGGCTAGACATGGTCGAGTCGGTAGAACCGCGCTTAGCTTTGTTGAGGCTTTTGAGTTTCGGGTCAGGTTTTTGGAGTTTGCGCCTGGGAGGCTTCAAACTGTGACTTCTTGTGAGAGTGTTGTCCATGGCGGGCGGTGAACATAAATTCTTGTCGAGAGCCGCGGTTTCAGGATGTAGCATTTAGTTGAAATGCAAGGTAAGTGATAAGCGTGGATCGTCGTCAAGGGCGCTTGGGTGAGAAATTGAGGTGAATTGAAACTCGTGTGTGTGTGTGTGTGTGTGTGTTTGTGTGTTAAGCGTAAGGTATCTTGGTTGATATTGGTCACGTTGGTTGGTGAATTGTGAGGATTTCGCAGCCATGGAAGATAAACATGGGAGAGATATGTGAGGTATGTTGTATGACCAAGATATGTATGACCAAGATATGTATGTATGTATGTATGTATGTGTAGGAAAAAGCAAATGCGAATCGTGCAAGCGGCGCAGAGAGAGTTCAGTCCGGGTAAGGTACCTAATAAGGCACCTTAAGGTAGGTACCTTAAGGTAAGTCAGTCGTAATTATGTATCTACGTAGTAAAGCCGAGAGACACAGTCAAGGCCTTACCGCTTCCCTGGCCCGGAGTGGCTTCCAAGCTGCAGGTTAGAGTGGAAGTCCAATCAAGAGGACCACGAGGTGGATGAGATACTCCACGTCATGGGTCGAAGGGAAGAAAAAAGGGTTGGGGATAGGCAGGGATGATCAAAAACTGGGATTCTGCAACCTGCAACCTGCAACTTTTCTGGCATCAACAGGAACAGAACAGACCTCCAACAGGCTTGACAGGGCTGGACTACAGGCATTGGGCGACCCGGCAAGATACAGCTACAGCTACAGCTACAGCTACAACACAGCTGGTAACCGAGACGAGGGTGTACTGTATCCTCTTAAAGGAAACTGATCTGCGGTACGGATACTTCAACTTGATCAGTCTGCACCAAAACAAGATTCACCCTCTCGACTCTGACTCTTCCAGAATCTGACGAGAACAACCTCGGACCACCCGCCCGCCTCTGCAGCGGTGAAGCCCACACGCTGCAGCAACTGATAATCAGGACCCTGGCCCTGTCACCCGACTCGACTCGACTCTACTCTTGAGTGCGCTGTAGAAACGCCTTACAGCTGCCGCAACACCCTTACAGGCTCAGGTTTCGCACTAGGTTACTTCCTAGTGCCAAAACGGTTGTTATCCGTATGGTCCTGCCGCGTCGCGTGTGACTGTTGAATCTAGCTTGAGCTGATGTCATGTCATGTGTGCCTCTATCGTATTGTGACAATGAGAGAGCCTTACTGAGAGGTCTGAGCCCATTTACCACTCATTGAGAGGGGTAAAACAAGACGTGTCTCTTGTCAATGGGCTGTTGTTCTGAAGCCATCCGGATCATCAGTTGTGGCAATGTCATTGTGAGTAAGGTAAGTTCAAGTACGTTCTTGTACGCGAGTTAGATATGCATGAGGGTGCCATGCTGGCTGTGGTAGAAGCCGGCTGCCTCCCTTTACGCACTTTTTTCGGTTTGACAATAATTTGTTGTCAATGCAGATATTTCTCTTCGGTCTTGAATATCCTAATCGTCATTGATCAACAAGATACTGAGCGTTAGGGAGTAGAATAAGGCCGTCGGCGGTTCCTTTTATGAAGAACCTTTGTCTTTTACGACGGGATAAACGAGAGGAGGCTTCTTCAAGAGTCCAAAGTCAAACAAATACGGTGCGTATATTGTTAAGACACGGTGACGGATACTGTATGCAGTTAATTTACTCAGGTGGTTGGGGAAGTGAAATAAATGGAAATGGTTGTCGTGCACCTTGAAGAAACGGTCAAGACATGGCATGATATATGAGAGGGAGGTATTTCTGAAATCTCAAAAGGCCATAGTGATCATATTAAAGAAGCTTAATTATCCGTCGGGTATATTCAACGAGTTTGAGGAATTTAACTCATAAATAGGTAGGTACTTTAGTTAAACTGAATTGCTAACAGACTTTCTCTGTGCGCGTTGGATCCCATGTTAGTGAGGGGTACTCGGATCGGATCGCGGGGACACAACGTGGGGTCAGAACTCAACATCGGATAATAATTTAAATGGAATTCTTTTGGCGAGGGCACTAAAATGTCCATTAGCATAACCTTCAGTCACGAGGTTTATTTTCCCGTCAAGCCAGCCTCGTTTCCACTAGAGATGGAGCACATTGAATGCCTGAACCTACCTACCCATAGCTAAGGTACGTGCTCTTTATAATGGATATTCTGCCTGCGGGGGGAAGACCGAGACCATTCATACTTCATACTTCATGGCAGCCCAAATCAATTGCTGCGCGGGGGCGGGTCGCGGGGGTTAAGTACTCTTAGGCGTTGAATTATGAGTACTTCTTAAAACACCAGGATCTCACTGTAGATCAAGTCCTTAGTGATATCTTCTTAACAGATACTCCCCCCAAACCCACCCCCAAATCAACAACTCTCCCCTCTCCAAACCCATCCAAACCCAAGCATATTTATCGGCAAGAACATGCCGGCGGATATCTTCTCATGATATACAAAATTCACTTTCATGGGGGTTTCCAGTGAGCGGATCCCGTTATTCCATCAATCAGACGCTGAGGAATTGGTCGTCATGGCATCTCGACTCTTCTTTTACCCCACATCGTGACAATGGATGAGGTCTCATGAGAGACGAGGAAAAAAGGGACCAGCAAAAGGGACAAGCTATAAAGCATGACGCTCCCAGCTTCAACCTCTATTTAGCCTCAATTGATTCATTATAATCTTGACGATTTTACGTTTCTTCTTCCTTTTTCTCGTCGTGATCCTCTCATCATAACTCCTCACTACCTTACTCATTGAAACCTCCCCCTCCCCCCGCGTTCGGAGCTCACCCCACCTCAAGAGTGTCCCTCATGCTTCACTGAGCTCTCTCACACTCGACAATTACCTACAACTTCGAATAAATATACCTACAAATAAACAGCAATCATGGGTGAAATCACAATTACAGGCTGGAAGACTCGCGATGTTCGCTTTCCTACTTCTCTCGATGGAACTGGCTCCGATGCCATGAACGCTGCTGGCAACTACTCCTCCGCCTACTGTATCCTCGAGACAGACTCTGAATACACCGGTCACGGAATGGTCAGTACTCAATTCCTTCGGAGACCATCTCAACTGATGCTGACTTTATACAGACCTTCACTATCGGCCGTGGAAACGACATCGTCTGCGCTGCCATCAACCACGTCGCCGAGCGTCTCAAGGGCAGGACCCTCTCCTCCCTCGTCGCAAACTGGGGCCAGACATGGCGACATCTCGTCAACGACAGTCAGCTCCGATGGATCGGCCCCGAGAAGGGTGTCATCCACCTCGCTCTCGGTGCCGTCGTCAACGCTGTCTGGGATCTCTGGGCCAAGACCCTCAACAAGCCCGTCTGGCGCATCGTCGCTGACATGAGCCCTGAGGAGTTCGTCAGCTGTATTGACTTCCGTTACATCACCGATGCTATCACTCCCGAGGAGGCTATCGCTATGCTCAAGGAGCAGGAGTCTACCAAGGCTAAGCGACTCGAAGAAGCTCTCAACAACCGCGCTGTGCCCGCTTACACAACGAGTGCTGGCTGGCTTGGATACGGAGAGGACAAGATGAAGGCTCTGCTTCAGGAGACTCTCAACGCTGGATACAGACACTTCAAGGTCAAGGTCGGTGGTGACATTGAGCGCGACCGCAAGCGTCTAGGCATTGCTCGTGAGGTCATTGGTTATGACAAGGGCAATGTTCTCATGACGGATGCTAACCAGGTTTGGTCTGTTCCTGAGGCCATTGAGTACATGAAGCAGCTCGCCGACTTCAAGCCTTGGTTCATCGAGGAGCCTACATCCCCTGACGATGTGCTCGGCCACAAGGCTGTTCGGGATGCCCTTAAGCCTTACGGCATTGGTGTCGCTACTGGTGAGATGTGCCAGAACCGTGTCATCTTCAAGCAACTACTCCAGACTGGTGCTATTGATGTGTGTCAGATCGACGCCTGTCGTATGGGTGGTGTTAACGAGGTCCTTGCTGTCCTCCTCATGGCCAAGAAGTTCGGTGTGCCTATTGTTCCTCACTCCGGTGGTGTTGGCCTCCCTGAGTACACACAGCACCTGAGCACCATCGACTACGTCGTTGTCTCTGGAAAGCTGTCTGTTCTTGAGTACGTGGACCACCTCCACGAGCACTTCTTCCACCCATCTGTCATCAAGGATGGTTACTACACTACTCCTGTGGAGCCTGGTTACAGTGTTGAGATGAAGCCTGAGAGCATGGATCGATTTAGCTACCCTGGTGAGAAGGGTGTGAGTTGGTGGACTTCAGATGAGGCCAAGGTTATTCTCGATGGTGAGAAGATTTAATGAGTGGTTGAAAAGGGTTGGATAAAAGGGCCCGGTGTTGTGTATCTAAAATGCCTCCATAAGCGGAATATCATGAATTTATGAGTTATCAAACCTGACAGGCCCCTTTATGATGTTGATTGGCTACAAGTCTAGCTGTTGATTTATGAATTGTGTTATATGTCCAAGTTCTTCAGGAGAGTACCAATGCTTCAAGGCTGGGTACGTCTTGAACTCGACTTTTGCTCCCATCCGCTCCAAGCATTTGGCGGCACTTAGTCCGTTGCAATACTCAACATCCTCGTCCTCCTTACCATGTACCACGAACACAGAAGTTTTCAGGAAAGGAAAAGAAGTTGTTGGTGGTGCAGGATCGAGCTCTGCTTCTCCACGAAGCTCGTCGATTGCTCTCTGCAGTGGAGGTTTTGCCTCCTCTTCACTATCCCTTTCGAACAATCCGTCTTCTGATACTTCATCGCATGTCTCATCCGCCATTAAACTCTCCGCTAGGGGCATGAAGCCACTCATTATAACCACGGCGCCCAGACTCTGACCCTCCCAAAGTAGCCAACTCATCAATGCCATTGCACCGCCTTGACTGAAACCAATCAATACTACTTTTCCTGCATCACCACTCAGTCTTTCTATCTCATCTTTCAATAACTTATGAATATACTCGATGCTTGGTCGCATGTTCCCACGCGCCTCAGGCTCCCAGTCGCCAGTTCCTTCATACCATTGATGAATAAGTGAACGGCGATACTTGGTCGCCCGAGCAAGAGGCGCGGTGGGGAACACGAAGCGAGCATTCGGAAGAGATTGGTGGAACGATATTGATGGATCGGGAGAAGGAGATGTGAGAAGTGGTGAGTGAAACTTCTGTGCGTTGAAGCCACGGCCGTGAAGGACGATGATTGTGAGTTTGTGGGGTGAGACAAGAGGAGAAATGGTTACCAGTGGTGGGAATTTTCCTGGTCTGAGGCGAGGCGAGTTTCTTGTGGCATACTCTGTTGACATTTTTGTTGATGTGGATGTTAATTGAGGGTACATATGTGTATTGTGTAAGTGAGGTTGGTGATGATTGATGAATGTGTGGTGACCTATGAGAAGTGAGTGCCAGAGGCTTGCTAGTGAATGAGATGAGCTGAACTGAACACCACCAGACAACGAAGTTTTCATTTTTCATGTTTCAATACTGAATTTAAAACATTCATTTCTCAGTCGGAATTGTTACCTGGTCTTCTCATACCCATAAGCCATTCCTTGTGCTGTGTTGATCTCACCACTTCTCCAGGGTCTCATTAGCGAACGTGTCACTATATTCTGCCCCACGTAACGCACCCCTTCAGCTCAACCTCACATCACCAACTTCACACGCTCATTTAATCCTCTACTCGAAATGGGTCTCCTTAACCACGAAACGAACCCAATATCTTCTCTAACAGCCGCCTTCACCGCTTGGAAGGGTCTTCTCCTGGCCATCGCTCTCGGTGCGTCTGTAGCCCCAGACTACGATACCTCAACATCTCTCTTCTTCAGCATCGTACATGGCCCGACAACACCTGTTCCTGCTCTCGCTACTCGTCTGACGAGATGGGACGCGCTGTATTTTATGCACGATGCGGTGAAGGGCAAAGTGTACGAGCAGGAGTGGGCGTTTGGCATTGGACTGCCAGCCGTTGTACGTGGCATTAATGGGTTATTTGGACTTGAAGGCTGGGATGCCATTATAGCCATTGCCATCTCGCACGTTTCTCATCTTATTTCTGTTCTGGCGCTATACCAGCTCACTATTGTGCTATGCAATGATCGGAAACTTGCATATTTGGCTGCGGTCGTGCATATTCTTTCACCTGGCGGCCTCTTCCTTTCAGCGCCGTATGCAGAGAGCACATTTGCATGCCTGTCCTTTGTGGCCAACCTACTTTTCGCCTTGAGTGTGAAAGCCGGCCCTGACTCACTAAGACGCAATATTTCTGTCATTGGAGCAGGATTGTTGTATGGGATTTCCTGTGTGTTTCGAAGCAATGGACTCTTTGGCGGCGTTCTCTTTGCGGTGGAAGCCATCAAAGGTCTCACAGCACTTCTTGGTGGGTTCACCTTCTCCAAAGCTCTGAGGCTTGTTGCACCTATTATTGGTGGGCTGTTCGTTGCAGTTGGTTTTGTTGCGCCTCAGATTCTGGCGTGGATGAGGTATTGCAATGTCCAGGATAATGGAGAACAACGCCCTTGGTGTACACGCCCTCTCCCAAGTATCTACACTTTCGTCCAAGAAGAATACTGGTATGTGCTCACAGACGAGTCAAGTAATGAAAACTAACAAAACCAGGAACGTGGGCTTCCTCAGATACTGGACACCCAATCAGATCCCCCTCTTCCTCCTTGCAGCTCCTATGCTCACAATCCTCATCAAGTCAGGAACAGAAGTCGTGCGAGAACCTTCGCGAGGCCTTCGTGCCATGATTTCTGGCACAGATGAACAGTGCAGGCTGCTCGTGAGAACTCTAGCTGCTGTGCAAACTCTTCTCGCCGCCTTGGCCATCACAAACTATCACGTCCAAATCATAAGTCGTATCTCATCTGCGTACCCTGTGTGGTACTGGTGGGTCGCTTCGTGTCTCATGGATAAGCAAAGACAGAATTTGGGTCATGGTATAATTGTGTTTATCAGCATGTATGCCATGATCCAAGGGAGTCTCTTTGCATCCTTTTTGCCGCCTGCCTGAGGTGCTGTTGTTTATACTTTGTGTTTTAACTTGAGCTGGTTTTTTTCTAGAGCCTGATTTGTCGGTTGGACAACTCAATGAACTCAACGGTATAGTGAAAAACAAATAGAGTTGGAATTATGAAAGCTTTCTACCGTCACACTTTCATTCCCTCATGTTAATGAGAGGCATATGGTGCATGTAGAGGCAACAAAGAAGTTTGTTCTGTTGATGGCGAATATTATATCTCTATTTCTCTCTATATAAAAAGACATGCTATTCCATCTTACTTGTCCTTTCTCTTCCATCTTTCAAAGATCCATCAGTTCTCATATTCGTCACCCCCAGTTACACTTACACATACTCACTCCATCGAAGTTTCTCTGCTTTATCCCAACCGACTCCCAATATGTCAGCTACAGGTAAATTGATAATGATCATTATTCTGAGACACGTAAAGACTGACCAGCAACCACCAGGGCAACAGCCGAATCAACAACCAGACCATCAATCCAACGGATCGACCTCCACTTCACATATTGTCTTTGGGCTGCCCACTCCCCCTCCGACTCCCCCTCCCTTGAATTCTGGTCTTCCGCCTCCCCCGTCTCAGCCTCCTGATACAACTCCTGGCAACGGAACTGGAAATTGTATTGAAATGTTGGTTGAGACCAAGGAGGTTGAGAACGAGGAGGTTAATAGACAAGAGCAGGACGAGACCAAGGAGTTTAAGGGACAAGAACAAGACGTGATAAGGGAGTTGGAAGGACAAGAACAGGACGAGACCAAGGAGTTCAAGGAACAAGGACAGGACACAACCAAACCCATTTCTCCTGCGAGTTTTCACTCGGACTCACTTTCACAACACTCTTTTCTAGCAAGTAAGAAGCCCTCTGAAGCAACATCCGGCCTCAGCTCTACTGCCAAGCCTATCTTGCCGAGCTTGAGAGCCCGTCGGGGTAACCTGCAGGCTATTGCTCGAAACCAAGCGAGTAGAGCATGCAAGCCTTGTTATAGATAAAGTCTATTGTATCATGCACTGAGAGCAAGGCAATAGTTGAACCTTTGTTTTAATTTACTATCGATCATCAAGTCGTGATAGAGACTGGGCGAATGGGTCACTTGGGTAGAGTTGGATAACAAGCCCTCTTCCTCTTCATACAAAGGAATATGTCCTTTTGGGCGGTTTCAAGTATATATCTTGGCTCATTGCTATGGTTAGAAGTATAATAACAGTCTCTCTATACATATTTCATGACAGAATGTGACCCAAATCATGTTCTCGCTAGTTAATTCCAATGTTATATGAAACCATCCAGCTCTCATTAATAGGGCTTCTTTTCTTTTCCAGCCGGAATACTTGGGCTATGCAAATGATCATTTCGTCCCGATTCAAACAAAGTCTTCGGTCCAACATCCGAGGATGGCTCCAACAGTTATCTTACTTTAGTAACCAGGTTTTATAAGTATTCATAGTCAAAGTAAATAGCCATAGCTACACTCAAAAAGAACGAGAGCAACTCGAACATCGAGGCCACTGAAAAACAAAGAAAAAATGATACTTGTCTATTGAATAGTTGTCATGAGACCGAGGCGTGTCGGATACTAAGGTGGCCAGTGTTTTTGGGTTAATAGGAAGGCAATTGAATGAAACGCTTGTATTATTTCTTATAGAAAAACTGTTCTGATCGCTGTAGAGCCTGATACCATCTACATAAACCAATAATAACAACGCCTTTAAACACCAGGAAGAAAACGCACCGTGCTTGTATGTTAATTCACCCATTTGCTGACTCTGCCCAAAAATGAAACCAAGGCCTCAAGTACGAGCCCTTAGTACGCTTAACATGTCAAGCCCGATTGTTCGCGCTCGAATTTTGGCATGTGGGACAACCTCAACACAAGCACCTGGTTCCAAGCATGCAACTCTGATCTTGGTGATTCCAAAATTGTTCATTAAATAGATTCTTTAAGTCGTGTTGCGTCTTTCGTCGTTGCGAGGTCGCCGAACCGGAGATGGCCTAGGTCCAGAACTTCCAGAAGTTCCTCCGTCGCTTTCTTGTCCTCCTTCCTCCTCTTCATCTTGTTCTCGGACAGTTGGCAATGAGGTTCTTCTTGCCTCGCTCCCTGTAGAGCGTGTTGCACGTCGACGGTATCTCCGTACTACGGGTCGCATAAAGAGGGGCTCATACTAAGACTCTTCCTCCGAGTCACTGTTATCATTAATCCTAATAGCTCGCCATCTCCTGTCGGTCAAGTCTTGTGCAGCAGTTCCTTCACTCTCTGGGTCGACATAGCCCTGACCTCCAGCGATGCTTAGCGCAACGGGCAAAAAGACTAGGGCGTGGAGGGCGGCGAAAATGACCAGAGACAGCCAAACTCGGAAGTAATAGATCTCGAAGATCTTTGATCGCGTGAAGGCGAGTACAGAGACACCAAGAAGCTTCGTGACGGTGATGCCCGAAAAGACAGATCCTCCGACGTTAACAAGAGCAGTCCAAGCCCGGGCATCGCGACCACGGAAAGCATTGCTATTGCCTTCCATCACTGTGCGGGAAGGATACATGAACGCGCGGGCGATATGAGCACAGAATTCAACGGAAATGCCAACGCAAATGATGAGATTGACCAGAGAAACAGCATTCAGAGACACGTTGAACAGTGCCATACTACCCATGATATCCACAACGCTCATCACAACTGTGACAGAGACCACAGCTGCCGTGAGCAATGAACCCAAGAGGACGGTCGCAACAGCAAAGATTATACCAACAGCGGCACACAACAGTACAGCTGTCAGCGGTACAATGCTAAGATATTGGTCAAAGAAGATGTAGAAGACGCTGTAGGGGAAAACATCCGCGCCTGTTCTTTCTTTGATATCAGAAGCGATGCGACGAGCTGCGGAGTATGCAGCAATAAAGTCTTCCTGGCTTCTCAAAGGAGTATGCATGGTTCTGAAGTGTGTGGACTTGACATGGTTGCCCTTGTCATTGAGAACAACAGCCTGGCCATACGCGGCCTGGCCGGCGAGAGGGCATTCATCGCCGGTAGGGCTTGAAAGGAACTTCTTAAGATAATGAATGAACTCTTCATCCTCAGGCATGCCGTAGAGTGTAGTATTCCATGCTGGCTTGCGATCAGCAAAGCAGGTTTGGCCATGCTCCACACAACACTGGTCATAGATGGGATTCAACCAGAGGAAGAAGTCGTCAATCCAACTGGCGGCAGGTGAAGAGATATAAGAAATATCTGATCTCTGTCGTTCAAGCTCAAGTGTGTTCGTAAGCGAAAGATCCTGGCAAGTCGTGAATCTCGAGCAAATTTCTTGCTGCTGTTCTCGCTTGGAGGCATCAACCTCGCGGGTCACGAAATACACTGGGGGCCCAGTCTCCAGATACTCGTACAAGTCATTAAAGTAGGGGATCAGGTAAGAACCATCAGGGATGGCAACTCGCTGATCAAGGCCAAGTTGGATCTTGGGCAAGAGTGCCAGTCCACCTGCAAAGAGCCCAAGGAAAATTGTAACAACTGCAAGCTTGACCTTCTTCCCAAGAAGTCGGGGAGCATATGTATTCTTGATGAAGACCTGCAGCAAGCTCTCTTCGGCCATGTCTGAGCCGCGGCTACCTCCCTGAGCAAAACTGTTGGCCCCATTAAGGTGGACTCTAGCCTTAGTGATCTGCCACCAGGGCCACAGCTCACAACGATGGTCTTCAACCCGCATCTGGTTAAGGGAAAGGAAGGAGACGAACATGGTCATCTGAAGCACGGCGTTGACCAGGACAGCACCTGCAGCGTAAGCAGCGAAATTCCTAACAGCCGGCATGCCAACGGCGGTGCCGAGAGCAAATGCGACGGTTTCTGTGAGAGCAGAAAAGAGAATGGAGGGTCCCATACGGCCTAGGGCTCTTGCAACTCGCTCCTCGACCATTTGGTCAGGGAAGCTGACATTGACTCTCTCGAGTTCATGGACAATCAGGAAAATATTGTCCACACCAACAGCCAGAACAATAAAGGGAATGACTTCAACAATGATGAGTGTAGCTTTTAGGCCAACCCATGAGAAAAACCCAATAGAAGCGGCAATCGACATGAGGACAATGAGAATTCCCACGAGACCGAGTGTTACCTTGGACTCAACCAAGAGCACAGCAGGATTGCGGAAGATATGCTTGAGGGGTGTTCCAAGCGCCATGCAAGCGTAAACGAACATAACGATGTAACTGATGACGATAATCTTTGCGTCTGTGTTGGTTGACTTGTTAAGTTCCTGCTCGAGACTAATCTCGGTATTGAAGGACAAGCGAAGGCCACGTTCCTTGGCTTCTTGTTGAACCTCGAGGAGTCGGTCGCGGAGGGAGTTTTCCCAATCAACAGCCCTTGCAAGAGCATCAGTTCCCTCTTGAGCGTTGTTAACTACCCAGGTCACAGTGATAGCATGGGCGTCAACCACGTCGTCGTCGTATCCACCAAAGATCATTTTGGGCTCGATGGGTTGTCCAAAGTCTGGTCGACAATCCACGGGGCTCTTGGCGCATGCTCGGAGGTCCTCTTTCCAATACTTGGGGTCAAATCCACCCTTGGCGTGCCAATAGGCTGAAACGGACTGCACGACACAGGCATCGTTGGTGGGTTTGAAGCAGAGATCCTGGAAGTATTTTCCATAGACAGGGCTTTCGATCTTCTTGACGCTCTCCTCAATTTCAATCCACCATTTCAGGGTATCGTAAGACAGAACTGGTCCTGGTCCAGAGGGATCTGTATCGTTCACAAGGAAGACCTTTTCAGCACGGTAGAAGGGTCCAAAGTTGCTGTCGAAGTAGGCCTTCTCTTGTGCAGCAGCAGAAGAGGGGCTCACCCAAAGGCGGGCAGGTTCCTTCTCAAGGTCAAAACGGAACAATCCAACACTAAGGATGGCAACGAAGAGTAGGCTTAGACCAATGCACCACCCAGGGAATCGAGCCGCAATGTGACCGAGCTGGTAGAAGGCCTTGTCGCACTTATCGTTTACCCAGTATCTCTTAGTTGGGCGCTCACGCATCGCCTCCGTGTCAACTGGACCACCTTCGTCCTCATCATCGCTATGCGAGGATTCATGCAACAGTCTTGTCCTTTCAACACGATGCTGAGAATACTTTTTATATGCGATGTGACCAAAGACGGCGAGTATCAGAGTTAAAAGCAAGACGCTATACACGAAGATGGAGGCAAAAGAGAGGCAAGGCAAAAGACCGACTCTGCAAGACTTTGAGTCTTTGACGTCTGGGAGCTTCGGGCAGACACCAGGGCAGTCGACACATACGCAGCGGTAATCGGGGTCCTCGTCATTGCATTTCTTCGGTGTCATGTCCAATGGGTGGAGGTCGTGGTCGCCGTAATCAGTCGGAAAGTTGATCTGGAAAGGAGAACCGACGAGAGGTTTCTTGTTTCCAAGGAACGTCAGCATCTCGGTGTAGTTCTTAGCACCACCACCTATCAAGTCCATCGCCTTGCTGTTTGCGCCGCCAAACTTGACTTCTTTGCAACTGTCATAGAAACCAGAGCCATATTTCTCTGAAATGAGCTGGTCGAGTTCTGTTACGAGCTGCTTGCCGTTCTTGGGGGCAGAATCGGTCACATTGATAAAGAGAGATTGGTCTGGAGAACATGTGAATGTACAAAAGAGGTTGAAGAAGTTGTCTTTGCAAGCTGGGCAAGACCCAATGAGTGTACTTGGTGTGCCGAGCTCGGACTTAAGTGCTTTGACCTATGTATCGCAGATTAGTATGAGGTAGCATGGAGGTTCGTGGGATATGCTCACTTGATCCAGGCTACAGCAAACAGGTCCGGTCTTCCATTTCTGGCCGCAAAGTTCGACGAGTTCATTACGAAGCTCTTCGTCAGGATCTTCAGCCAAACCATTGTCGACACATGGAAGCTCTTTGCCGAAAAAACTCTGCTTTCCACAGTGGCCGCGGAAGGCGCATCGTCCAGCTTCATGTTTCGGAGTATACTGCTCTGCAAAGCCGAGGCCGGTGAGAAGAGCAGCCACAGCTCCTAGCTGAGGTACGATGCGTTGATGCATCTCGAATTTAGGGAGCCGCACGCGGCGGGTGTTATGTATGAAGTCGTGGGCCTATTTGGTCGCGATCGAAGTTTCGTATGGATATCGCTCTCAAGTTGACGTACGACAGGTACGGTGTGACGATAAGCGTGGGATGATGATGAAGGTTAAGATGTTTGCGAAGCAATCATAATAGATTGTAGAATTGAAGCTTAGAAGAACAACGTGACTCGAGTGGAGGTGAAACTCTAAAGGCGACGCGTCGACAAAGTAGGCGCAACCGAGACGGTTGCAGGTTCAGACTTGGAGGCTGGTGGTGATGTCGTAGCGCAGCAGCAGCAACCGTAACCGTAGCAGGTAGCTCTACAATGGAAAGCTTGAATGGGGGCCCCGATGGCGGGCGCTGTAGAGGTCACGACCGACCTGCGTCATTGGTTTCTGTGGGCCCGGTCTGCCTCTAATTCGCCAGCGTGATCAACTTAGTGGTACTTGTGGTCTAAGAGGCCGGGGTCAGAGGCCGGGGTTGAGCTTAGCCATCGCAGTAGCTACAGTCAATGATTCATTCAGAGCTTGACTGAGATACCCTAGAGATAAAGATGTAAACGTCATATTTATTGATATTTCGCGTAACATAGAGGTAGCAGTTATTGAAATCACGGTCGGTAAGGTTCATCTTCAAGTAGAGTCCTTAGATTTATCTGCAAGATTTCTGTGTCCAGGCCAGTCTAAGAGTCGTATTCGTTTGTCTAATTACAGAAATATCAGTCTGCAAAACGACAAAAGTTCTGAGCTCTTGTCTCATATACTAACCGCTCCTCGGGAAGCAAGAAAATACTAGACCTTAATATACGGTATCGAAATAAACTTAGTAAAGAGCCCCTTAAGCTAAGGCAAGATTTACCTTAATATTTTTATTGCTTAGGGTTAAGGTCCTGTGTTTTCTTTCCTCTCCTAGCCGCTATATGTGCCTAAGAAGCATCCCATATGAGAAAATCTCTAATCCTAAGTCAACTCACTATCCAAGAAACTTGGAAGAATATGCCTAGGTAACACCAATTGCTCCGAATCCAAGGGTTCAACTTAGACAATCATCAACAGAGCAGTACAGAAACCCATCATGTATTAAGAGCCTGCCAGCCAGATAAGCAACTTTCATTAATATTGTCTAAGCATAATCACAAAAGCAGGCAAGTTAGTCCTATCACCAGATATGAACCACGAGACAATCTCCCTCAGGCATCCCCAATTTTCCACCCAGCAAATGCCCGTGTAAAGTTAATCAACAGACCCAAAAGTAAATTCAGTCGTGAATGCCCTCAATAAACCTAAAGACTTTAGGTCTCGCACTACCCATTAACTGTATTGTATTTACAACTTTGCAACCCCAAGTCTCGCTATCATGGCACGTGATACGTTTATCAACTTCAACTAACTCCACATTCGCTGAAGAGCCCTGAAAACACCATGACTCTTTCAATCTTTCTGTGCGTCATTCGGCCTTTCAATTTCGCAACGTCATTATATAAAGCGCGGGAAGCTTCTGAAGCGGGACTTAGCGACATAGTTTTTCTTATTGCCTGTAGGATCTTATAAAGTACCATGCTTTATTCGGGAACCAGCCATAACCGATACCACAACACCATCCCTCCCCCAAGATGCCAGAAACCTCAGAAGAGCTTGTGCAGAAACTGGTGGTATGTTCATTTACTATTGTTATGATGGCTTCAGCGCGTAAATATCTAGCTGCCGAGTCATAAAAACGAACCTTCGAGCCAGTATTGACCAAGATATCGTGATAATGACTATGAGACATGATATCGTGTTCATGCACTGTCATAGATAAGAGACTTCGTACTAACATATGATGTTGCAGGAAAAATTCAGGTCGCTCCTGGACGAAGCCCTCGTAGTTGCCATCGCTAGCGATCATGATCTCACGGAAGCTTCTCAGTATAACTCAGCTCAGACTGTCTTAGAAGACCTTGCCCAGCATGTCACAACAGAAGAAGCAACTGGATTCAACCCAAGTGGCATCTCGAATATGCCTGAAGATGTGAATGGCGACGAGGGTACAGTCGAGACCAGCAGTCAGCAGGCCTCTCATGCTCACGACACAGATACTACTTCCGCCAGCGATCAAACTACATCGACAGCAAACACAACTTACTCCATACCCAGACTTACTTCATTCGATGATGATAGCGAGGAGAATAAAGTCCTTCTCCTCCAAAGCATGTTTAGTGAGCTCAAGGAATTTGACATCAAACACTCACTGAAAAAGGCAAATGGCGATGTGCAGACTGCGCTCGATGACCTACTGAACATCCAGTATCTTAAATCGACAGGGCAAGAGCAGAAGGGCATTGATGGCTTCTTTGAGCCCGAAGAAGCCGGCGGAAAGAAGAAGAGAAGGAACAAGAAGAAGGGCAAAAAAGCATTCGGAAGCGAAACCCCATCATCCAGCAGCGGAAATGCCACTCCATCCCCCGATGACCTAAAAGAGTTGAAACGTATGTTCTAACCAATCGTTTACCAGACCGTGATAACTAACAGTCTGACTTAGGCCAGGACGAGATCGCATATCTGGCAGACAGGCTGGACTTACCTTTTGGAGTAGTCTCCGATATCTACCACAACAAACGCTGTGCGAGTGGTGCCGCTGCAGTTGAGATCCTGCATCGATACATGTCACAAGGCATCGAAACCCAGGATAAAGATGCAAAGAAATATGCACAGGAACTCGCACAAAAATATCAGAATGTCCCAGAGAAGTTCATGTCAACGATCGTTCAGGTTACGGGCACCACATCGCAAGAATCAGAAGACATCGCGGCGCTTGTTAGCAAACATTTCGTCAAGAATCCCTGGACACAGAAGCTTGAGGTCAGTTATCAACTGACGCCACTGCCCATAGAGGATATCGAAGGATTCGAGACAGTTACGCGAGGGAAATCCAAGCTAGCCCGGCCGGTATCAGGAAGCACCAGCTTTCCCGTCGGCTCGTCAGCGTACGCGCAAGCTGCTGAGAGAGCCAGCCAATACAATCGAGCCAAACGTGAAGCAGCCGCTTCGGCAGCATCCTTAAATCGACGTGGTGCCTCTAATCCACTCTATCGGCAGGCAGCAGGTTATTATTCTGAGAGGGCACGAGAGCAGGCTCGATATGAAATGCATGCTACATCAACGGCGGCAAATCTACTGGTTGACAAGCAAAGCACATCAACTTCGATTGACTTACACGGCGTTAACGTGCAGTCTGGCGTGAGCATTGCCCGCGAGAGAGTCCAGTCCTGGTGGGCTGGCTTGGGAGAGTTTCGGTCTGATAAGGCTCGACAGCAACCTTTTACTGTCATAACTGGACTCGGCCGCCATAGTGCTGGTGGTGTGTCACAGCTGAGACAAGCTGTAGCTGCAGCTCTCCTCCAAGACGGGTGGAAGATGCAGGTTGAGACTGGACGCTTTCTCATCAAGGGTAGGCGATAAACGCCAAGATAAAGAATGCCTTGTGGTGGCTATCTCAACTTTATTTTGGAAATACGTATTCCGCATTGGCCTGGGTTGACCAGATTGGCAATTTTTACGAGAGCTTATTGCTCAAACGGCCAAATGGGACAACACTCACCTCAAGTTCTGGCCATGTTGGAGTTCTGGACCCCAAATTCAAGCAAAGGCTTACGCAACCTCTGATCCACAAATGAACCCGAAACAGTCATGACAACCAACTGCATGTTTTCTGTGTCGGCGCTGGCGAATAGATGAGCGGAAATAGTACTGTTAGTGCAGCCATTACCATGGAAACTCGGACCATGCAGCTTTAAGGCTGTGCTAGGCACGCACGAAACATGATCCTTCGCTCCATACGCTAAACCTCTGCAAAAAGACCAGAGTAAACGCGGCGGTTTCCTAGATAGGATATGGGGTTGCTTTTATCCTGTCACATCATGCCCCTGTGGGTGCCATCACGGTATCTTTGTATAAGTACTGAGCTGTCCGCCATGAGACACCAGTATCTCAACTTACAAGGCTGACCATAAAAAATCACGGATCACTCCCTTATCGACACTTCAATATGGCGGCCAAGAACCAGTCAGGACAGCCTTCTTATGAGCCTCTTCCCAGAGAGGACCCCGCAGCTGCGCTGCTGTCACCATCCGAGCGGGAGGATAGAGACAATGGAAAGACGCCCGTATTCAGAATCTCTTTCTCACCTATTATGTTATTACGATTGATGATTGTCCCTATCGTCATCACCGATATAGTTTTTATCTGCATGCCCGTTAACTCCCCAGGATCAACCGCCGCGTTCGCAATAGGTGGAATTTTCTTGGTTATGTGGCATGCGTCCCGCGTCTTCAAGAGCCTCCTCCCAGGCAGGAAGAGCAACAAGTTCGACCTCAAGATCGGAAACTTTTTCTGCACAATTGGCACGACTTCGCTTGCCTCGCGCTCAAGCCGTGGGGCCGGGACTTATCTTGTCAGCGCTATCGACTTTTCTTTCGGTCTTTTCTTCATCGGACCCAGTGTTCTGTCCTTCACTGCATACAACTGGTACTATGAAGCAAATGTTTCGGGTCTGAGTCTTACTGTTGTGTAAGTATACGACTGATAACGGTCATTCAAGTGATGCTAATAGTGCATTGAAGGATCATGCAGTCGGTAATTGCTGTTCTCAACCTGATCAGTCTTTTCCGCAAGATGAAGATCGTTGTCTATAGGGGCGAGGACGAGGACGACTACTTGTACTCGATCCCTGACCTTGATGTCTTCCGAGACGAAGTTTCTGAGCCCCGCGACTCGATGGCTTCGGAGGTCTAGAGGACCAAATTGGAACCTTGCTGAAGGAACTCAGTACCTGTCCTCCATCTCATTCGTCAAAAGCCAGCACCTACTACAAAGACTGAGAGTAGGAGGACTATGGGTTAGCCCGTTACGAGAATGTTCTGAGAGCAATATCCAGCTGGAAAAGTGCGTATGATGTAGTCTGTAAGTAAACTGTATTTTGCTGCCGCAGTGACAGGCGGTATAGATAGCTTTCACATAGCGTAACGTGAGATAAGAATTGAACACTCCCGTACACCTTCATCCTTTACTGCTTCTGTCGTCGAAGATTCTGTCCAACCCTGTCCCATACAGCCTGACCTGTAGTAAAGGTGGTGAAGAACATGGCCAAACTGACCAAGCCGGGCTCAAGCTTGACCCATCCAACCGTAGTGGTGGGAAGAAGCATATCGAGGAGATCAGAGACGAGAGCGCGGAGGAGAACGTAGCCTTCACTCTTAAACTTCTTCATCCAAGCACGTCTCTCGATCTTGCGTTTATTGACAATGCTCTTGAGGCGCTCACGCTCCTTGTCGAGATCCTCCTTGGTCATCTTTTCAGAGAGAACGGCAGTCTCCTTCTCGGTAGTGATAAGCTCGGCTGGCTTCTCAGTAGAGCTGATGCTAACAGTCTCACGCTTGACAGAGGCAGGAGTACCAGCGACTAGTCGATACAGTCTGATAACCGTGACAAGAACAGAAGTGTATAATCCAGCAAACCAGAAAAGCTGCGACTGGTAATCAATCTCCTGGAACTTCTCAGGACTAAAGACACGGAGGTTCTCGATACCACAGAGATCAAGGAGAGTCAAAGTCTCCATCATGCCGAACATGCCGAAGCAGGTCTTGCTAATGATATCAAGCCACATATCAATGCTCTTGTCACCTTGAGCGACGTAGACGAGCCATCCTGCGCGGAAAGTGTCCAAAAAGCGGAAGAAACGAATGAAACGTCGGGAGACGTTGATCTGGCCGCCTAGAGTGCGGAGAGATAATGTTGATGACACCTTAGACTGGACAAGGGCAAATAGAGCCGGGTACCAGACTAAAAGAGAGCATATCGCTTGAAAACCACGGAGAATTCGCTCGATGCCGACTAAGAGTAGGTAGTCAGTGAGTGTGTGTTGTAAGGGTTTGTGAGAGAAATACCAAGATCAGTGCCAAAGGCAACAAAATGCTCATATGTTCCCACCATAACTGCTAGTCTACCGAGACAGAGGTGTAAGATACAAATTGAAAAGAAGTCGAGATTTATGCCACGAATTTATATACGTCTAATGCAAATGAACAGAAAATTACAAATCATTGACCCCTGGTGGTTAGGTTGATTGTTGAATAGGCGGTGTTGATGGGGCCAGCCAGTAGTTTAATGTTAGTGGATCCTTACATCCACGTATGAACACGGCAAATTGAAGCGACTTGTATATGAGTGAATGATTTCAATATTTTCATATGCATCTAAACTGGCTGTATTTTCATATGAAGATGAGTTACGCAGGCAGACATAGTTTACTTTACCAACTCTTACTCCTATTGAACAATAAGTAAATATAACACATGGCATCTACCTAATAGTTGTAGTTATGCACAAGTACGATGCAAGACACGTCAAGCTTAATCCCTTCCTCTCTCCATACCCTTTTCTACTCATGATACCAATTATTGACCAGGAGACACCAACTTGCCTTGGGCTTTGGCATTATGGTTCCATCCACCAGCAAGGGCCTCACCACCATGCTCCTGAGAGAACTTCTGGATGCGAGCCTCAAGCTCAGGTCGGAAGTGTCGGATAAGACCCTGAATAGGCCAGGCGAAGGCCTCTCCCAGAGCTAAGCATCGTTAGTACAGCTTTATAGATAGGTAATTGATATGAGAACTTACCGCAAATAGTGTGACCCTCAACCTGCTTGGTGAGCTCCTGGAGCATGTCAATCTCACGCTCACGGGCCTGACCCTTCTCAAATCGCTTCATCATTTGCTCTGTCCACTTGCTACCCTCTCGGCAAGGTGTGCACTGGCCGCAACTCTCGTGGCGGTAGAAGTGGCTGAGGCGGCTGATAGCTCGGACAATATCGGTGCTCTTATCCATAACGATAACAGCAGCAGTACCAAGACCAGACTGGCTGTCCTTGAGGGCATCAAAGTCCATCAGTTGGTCGTCGCAGACGTGCTTGGGGAGAACAGGAGTAGAAGAACCACCGGGGATGACGGCCAAAAGGTTATCCCATCCACCTCGAACACCACCACAGTGCTTGTCAATCAGCTCACGCAGAGGAATGGACATCTCCTCCTCAACAGTGCAGGGGTTGTTGACGTGGCCAGAGATACAGAACAGCTTGGTGCCCTGGTTACGCTCACGGCCGAAGCCAGCAAACCAGCTTCCCCCTCGTCGGCAGATAGTAGGGGCAACGGCAACAGTCTCGACGTTGGTAACAGTTGAAGGGCATCCGAAAAGACCGACGGCAGCAGGGAACGGGGGCTTAAGACGAGGCTTTCCAGGCTTGCCCTCCAGAGACTCAATAAGAGAAGTCTCCTCACCACAGACGTAGGCACCAGCACCTCGGTGCAGGTAAACATCGAAGTCGTAGCCAGAGTCACAGGCGTTCTTTCCGATCAGGCCGGCGGCGTAGGCCTCGTTGATGGCTCGCTGGAGAACAGCAGCCTCCTCGACGAATTCACCACGGATATAAATATAGGCGGCGGTTGCGTTCATGGCTCGGCCAGAAATAAGGCATCCCTCGATGAGCTTGTGTGGGTCCTTTCGCATAATCTCACGGTCCTTGCAGGTACCGGGCTCACCCTCATCGGCATTGACGACAAGGTAACGGGGCTTGGTGTCCTTGTCCCAATCCTTGAAGTTCATGAAAGACTGCAGAGCGTTGGGTTAGAGACAATTGATGCTGGTTCGGCCTCTTGACCCGTAAAACCAATCATGGAGAAACCTACCCATTTGAGACCCGAGGGGAAACCAGCACCACCTCGTCCTCGAAGACCGGAAGCCTTAACCTCGCTGATGATCCAATCGTGTCCCTTGAGAATAATCTCCTTGGTCTTGTGCCAATCGCCCATCTTCCTAGCACTCTTGAGGTCTACGGGGTATCGGTTATAGAGGTTCTGGAAAATGCGATCCTGGTCTCGTAGACCACCGTATGTTCGCTTCGGGGCGCCGTCCTGGACAGTAGCCAGACCCCTCACGGCGGTCCGTGAGAGGCCGACGGCCTTCTTGGGCGCCGTTCTCGTGGACAGCATTGTGCTCGATCGTTGTCGGGTGGCGGTTTGGAGATGGTTGAACGTCAAGTTGCGGCACTTCAAGTTTCCCGGGCGAGATCCATTTCGTGACCAGGCCGTTCAGAAATAGCGGGCTAGTGATTGGCCAATCCATTACGCGATTATTCAGCCACTCAAGTTAGCCAGGACTTTACTTCCCACCAATTCTCACATACAAGCACAAGTCCTTCTTATCATTTCTGTTAAGCGCATCAACTGCCCTTCGCCTCCGATTTGCCTCCAACTGATATCCTGGAGTCATAGATCCTGGTAGCGCTGCCTCACGTAAGCAGTCAAGGAAGGATTTCTATTCGACGGACTCGATCTGCGGTGTCGCAACACCAACTTGAGTATTGTGGGCTTTGTTTGCAAGCTTCATCTCGGCTTCCTCCGCCGTGTTGATGAGAAATGACCACTGACATCTGTGCAATGATAACTTGAGTCGCATTCATCATGTCTAGCAAAAGACATTCCATTCTTCCCGCTATCGATCGCAGTGGTCCTAGGCCTCCCGTCCATTTCTCAGACTCCCTGACCATCTCCGACAATGCGATTCTCCAAGGAACACACTCGATCACGATACAATCCGAAACGGTAGTACACCCTCGATCAAAGTTTGAGTCAAACTCCGGATCTATTCTGATCGGACGACGCTGTCTCATTCACGAACGAACACACCTGGGAACTCGCCCTGCCGACCCTGATACTGCACAACGTGGTGGCATCATGCTGGCAGACTTTGTTACAATTGAGGCTGGCAGTATTGTTGAAGCTGGCAATACCGAGATCGGCGAGGGTACGGTAGTTCACGCTGGGTCAACTATTGGGAGTGGTGCTAGGATCGGCAAGGTAGATGAACCCCCCATCTTCGCGATCCAGGAGCTGACAATGTCTAGAATTGCACCATTACGCAGATGACAAAGATTGCCCCTGGAGCAATATTGCCTGACAACACTGTCGTATTCTCAAACGGGACAAGACGAATCGATCGGCGTAACCTTGCTGATCAGAGGAAGATTGCCTTAATGAAACAGCTCGCCGTCCTACGAAAAATGATACCCAGTAACGCCGACAAGTTTAAATAAGATACCCATAGATATACTCTTCTGAACGACCTCATTATATATATGATAACGCTCGGCGGGTCTCCTTGTGGTGATGCTCCTTTGTTCTGTCACCATATTGATCACAAAGAATATGCAGATACATTCCCCATAAGTAGAGTTACACCTCGGGAGCATCAAAAACCTCCGGATAGCAATCTCATCACAACGGGCAGCGTGCGGCAATGTCTGCAGCTCGTATTAAAATATTATTATTCCCCAGTGAGGGTGTATGGTACATAAATCGAAGACCGGTACATAGGCCGTGCCTTCATGAGACGAATTAATAAGACTGTCATCTTCGGTCTCTGTGAAATAAGGCCAGCCCTGTTATCACCACCATAATAGCCCACCTCTCTCCAAGAAGTCCTGTCAAGCCTGTTCCCATAAATCGAAAATGCGCAACCTTGGTCAAACTTCTTCCATCGCCCATCGTCCAAGCTGCAACAACTTCGTTTCCTTGGCTATCTTTGAAGCCGCCTGGCGCAAACGCCACATTTCCTCCCCCAGGAGCACCACGGCTCATACGCACAAGTTTCCAGCCATAATAATGGCCACCCAAGCTTGCTATTACATCTCCTCGCGAGCGCCGCCACTCAAATCTTTCTCGTGGTCCATTGCCTCCTGGCCCGACTTCAATAGCAAAGCTATAGCCTGTACCGAGACCACTGTGTGAACCTACTGGTTCAACTACTTCGCGTGCCAATGGAGCTCCCGAGCCTGGCACTGGAGGCAATTCGACTTCGAAACTAGCGCTCATGAACATGAAGCTTGCAGAAGCCAGAGGTGAATATGACGGGCCTGGACCAGAGTGTAGAAGAATTGGCGGTAGATCACTCAGGCCGGAGTGTGCGGAGTAGAGATACAGGGGGTGGTTTTGGTGTTCAGCAAGTGTATAGGAATTATTGGGCCATCCTTGATAGTAGAGATTGAACGCCGGTGGGAATTGGCGTGGAACAGCTGGTGGTTGGCTGGGGCCGGCAGTTGGAGGAGGAGGAGGAGGAGCTTGTGAAGCTGATGATGGTACTTTTGGCTGCGGAGCTGCAGCTGCAGGCGGAGGTTGTGCCGGGAGCTTCTTATGCTGGTTCTGGCTCTCAGCGTATGAAGGCGGAGGTTCATCTGGAACGTCAGAGGGATTCATTTTCCTTTGAAAGGTCTGGGGCTTGAGGTGTGTTTGAGAGGTGTATAGGCGAAGCTGACCACAAGTGAATGCGATGACGTCGTCAGCAAAGAGGTAGCTAATAATCAGCCGTCAAGCGAAGCAATGTTAGCAGCTCGTATCGTGGATTTATAGAATTTCTACGAGGTTGAGTATAGTGATTGAAGAAGTCCAGAGGGCAATGTCAGCGCAAGTGAACAGGTTTTGTATAAAAGCCAAGAGGTTGAGGTCCGTCCTACCGAAGTGATATCAGTGTATTGCGTAGATAGAATGTGGCTGTGAGCTGAGTTTGTGGCTATGCATGTTACACTTTCAGCTCGAGCCAAGAATCTTATGCATGCATGCATAAAAACTGTCAGGTCTCCGTTATAAACGGTGGCTGCTAGACCACGGCAAAGGCAGCCGACGGTATGTGGGAGACAGACAAGTTGTGCATGATTCGGTACCCGCCAAGAATATCCCTGGATCAGGGGTCTTCTGACACGTCGTCACTTATATGGAGCTCCGGATATCCTGGGATAAACCACGTCCTGTCGTTGTGAGCTATTCCGGGGAAGTCGGCTTTTGAAAATGCATTATCGTATCCACTTGAAGCTCATGAAACCAAGGCTAAAACTGCAGTTATGATGTCGATGCTGGGAGAGACAATGGCATGTTCAAGCCAGTGGAAGAGGCACGTGTAGTCGTAGCATGATGACTGACTGACGATGCTTGAAGTATCGAGATACATGAGTAAACATCATGTTGTTGTTATTATCTCCCGTCACCTATCTTAAGCCGTGAATGCTCTCATCAGAACCAACCACCCATTCTTAATGTAACAGGCCAGCCCTAACCAAGACCCAGATAATTCACAATGACCACGCCATCAAAGCCAAAAGCACCTCAGTACCCAATTCCTGTTTTTATCGCTCTAAATAACATGTCTTAAAATCTGTACCATGTGTAAATGCATAACTTTTTCTGTAACACAAAAGATGAAAGAAAAATTGCTCAATGCTAATGCCGATGCTGATGCTGATGCTGATGCTGCGCTAAACTTGAAACAAATAAAGCAATTAGAAACTGAACAAGGCACTGCGGCGCTTGCCCAGAGGGTAGATGAGCAAAGAGCTCATGAAAAGACCTACGGCGATACCGATGGCGATCTGAATCATGGAGGCAGCAACGCTGAATACCAAGTTATCAGGGTTCGAGCCCTGCTGGAACTGAACAGAGGAAGTTCCGTTGATCTCGCCAGTGGCGTTGGTAATAGAGTTGGCTACTTGTAGACCACTAAGCAATCCTCCAGTAGACGCAAGACTTCCAGGCACCTGACAGAATACTGCAGGAATAAGAATTGCTGCTGCAACGCCGTGTCGAAGTCGAGAGTAGAGGTTGGCAAGAAGTCCAACGGCCAATGCACCCAGTGTGCTGGAGATTTGAGGGCTAGACTTGAATCTCTGTCCACTCCAGTAGTTTACCATGTAACCAGCGAATGAAACGATAACCATGACGGGCATCTGGCGCCACTTTGCTTGGTAGACGATACACATGCTGATGACGAAGAATGGCACGAAAATGAAGCCGTAGTAGGGGTTCATGGCATCGGGACAAGTTGTAGTGTTGGACGGGTTACTGTCGAATAATCCGTAAAGAGCGGCGCCAACAGTGATACCAAATCCGAGAAGAAGGGAGTAAATGACGGCGTAGACTATTCGAATTGAGCCGGGGACAATGGCACGAGATTGCAGTTCGAGAGCAGAGCACACTGTACCATGTTAGCTTCTATCACCATCATGAGGTAGGGAGGGTTGACTTACAAACCATGTAACCGGGCAGCAACATGACGATACCGCCCTGTGCCAGAGCGCCGAAACAAAAGATCTCTTCGCCTCCACTCGAAATACTGCCAAACGTTCTGGCCAAGAAACTGACGATGATGGTAGAAGAAACTTCGAAGACGTTGCTATAGAGGGCAGAGTTGGGGGCCACAATAAGCTGAAGTACTCCAATAAGACAGCCGAAAGCGAAGATGAGAGGAAGATCGATGAGACGAGCTCCGAAGGAGAAGGGGGCAGCACAGACACTCATGAGTCCAAACATGACAACTCTGAGCCACCTGTGGAACTTGTCCTTGCGCTTCATCAAGGTCTCGAGCTTCTCGGTAGCTTCTTCAACGCCGACAATATCGTGCATAACCTCCTTGTAGATAAGATGGACATCCTTTAGCTTGCCCAGATCAATGCCCTGCGATGTGCGGACAATTCTGACTTCGGTTGTGTGAGTCGATCTATCGTCAAAAGAGATAATCATGCATCCGGGGAGGTAGAGGAATTGGCCATCGATTTCGAGAACTCTGGCAGACATGCTAAGATACTCCTCCAGTCTATGAGTGGGAGCTCCGAAAAGCATGAGAGCGCGGCAGAGTTTGATGATGTAGTCCTGTCGGGCCAGGGTCTCGGCAATATGAACTGTGATACGTGCTTCTTGTTGTTGCCAGAGACCACTAAGGCGGTTTGCGCTTGTTGTCCGCTTGTGGCCAGGTCTTTGCGGCTTCTTTCCAGTAGGCTTCTTCCTCTTATCCTCCGGGTCGTTGGGATTGGCGAGCCGCGATGAGGCCTCGATGAGGTTGGCGAGAGTGTCCTGAGACTTGTTCTGATCGTACCATTTTCGCTTTGGTGTAGATGCTCCAGATGGCGTTCCTTGAACTGTAGGAGTACCGGCTTCGCTTAGGACCG